TAATAATTGAAAATAATGGTGAAAGAATTAATTATTAATTATATATTAATAAAATTTCTAGGTTTTTAGCTTTATTTATATATATTTTTTATTAATTTCTATGCAGTAATTTTTGAGTAATGAATAAATAAAAAATTTCAAATTTTTTTGCACTATACTGTATATAAAGTTTATTAATAATATATAACTAAATACTTACAGTATATACAATTAAGTTTTTGTTTAACTTATTTTATTTAATACTTGATAATATATATATAGTAACAATAAGTCTATTTATATATTTAAATAAAAATAATATTGAAAGCATTAATAATTAAATAAAAATTATAAGTATAATAAAAATCAAACTTAAAAAAAAAAAACTCTTTCCCATACATAACTTTTTTCTTAAAAATTTCCTTTTACAGTAATTTTTCTTCAAAATTAAAGAAACATATATTTTTTTTGCCTTTCAATACCCAAAAGTCCTTTACACTTCCTTTTTTTTCACTACAAGAGCCTTAAGGAATTTAAAGAAGTATATTGGTACATTGGGATGGGACCTCTGGCCAGAGAAAAGCAAGTTTGAGGACCTTGCTTTTTCTTTGGATTGCATGAGGGAAGACCTGTGGCAGTTACTTCTTTATAAATCTTCTTTGGGGTTCTTCCCATTTTCTTTTCTTTTCAATATACAAATCTTTTTAAATAACTATACTTCTTGCTTGGAGGACTTCCTTTTATCTCAAAAAACCAGACTTTATATCAAAATTGTTTATATTATTGGCTTGGAGCACCAGCAATATATTAAATGTTTACTTCTCACTATTGCCCAGTATATCTTGCTGCGCCACCAAAAACCAAAAAATCTTACTCAAAAAATTTCATACCAAAAAACCGCAATCAGTTTACTCCTGTCAATTGATCAACATTCCAAACTTAACCAATCAAACACTATCAATTTTCCAAACAAATTCGTACAATTAAAACACCACACTTTGATCGATGTAAACAAAACCTTTTATGGCGACAATAACCAAAACAAAATCACACCACCAACAAACAAACCAATCACAATTCATATCACCACAATAACAATACTATCACTATGACTAATCATCTATCAAAAAGATATATCATCAACACTATTGTATACTTTGGACAGTAGCTTGGCCATTTCTGGAAGTGCAACAGTACTTCAGTTAAATTAAACTACTAGCATGGCATGCCTAGTGGCATTCATAGCTTTACAATTAGCATTTTTGCATTTATTTTTTTTGTTTTTTTTAGTATTTTCTTTTTTTTTCAATTTTCAATTTCTTATAGTTTTATATATAAACCTGAGTAGATATTCATAGCTGTTCGACACTATTTAGAATGTACATCAGTTTTAATATTTATTTTCCATGTTGCTTAGATAGTTTCTGTAAGCAAGCTAGCATTAGACTTATTAGCTTAGCAAGTTATATAAGAGATGTTGTCGCTTTCTCAATGTATAAATTTCAAACAATTTTATGATAAATAAAGTGATGATGTTTATCTACTTAAAAAAAAATAAAAATCAAACTTGAAATTTATTGATTTCTAATTCATTAATTGGTTATAATTAAAATTTTTCTTGATCATATATAAATTGTGTTCTACAAAAAGTATATAACATATATAATTCAGATAATATACAAACAATACTGCTTAAGTTAACTTTAACTTGTAATATTCTTTAAGATTTTATTCAAAATATAATATTAAATAATTAATATAATATTTACAAAATAAAACAATATTTTATTTTTTATTTAAAGCAAGTTATATTAATTCTTTTAAATAGTAAAAACTTTATTCTAATAATCTTAACACTTGTATATTTAACTTGAGATTATTTTACAATTCCAGTATCTAATATTTTATTTGAGTTGATATTTAATATAGTAAAGCATATAATTAGTATAGTTCAAAATAAAATCAAAGATAAAACAGCTTATATATCATCTTGTCTTAAAAGTTAGATTACTAATAAATATTTTTTTAATGCTTAAATAGATATTTAACATAAAAGTAACAATAATTTTAGAGATTATAATAATCTTTCTAACAATAATAATAACAAAAATATATATAATCATTATGATTATCAGGAGTCCAGTAATTATAGTAATTATAATAATAATGGTAATAATAAAAATACAGATAATTATTAGTTTAGTTATTATGATTTTTTTAATAATAATAGTAGTGGGAATATATATCTTTTTAAATCAAGTTATTATAATAATTATGGTTATAATTTTGTTTTTAATAGTTGGTTAATATGAGTATCATTAAATAAATGTCAATAGTAAATGAATTATTATAAGAATATATTTTTAGTTTTATAAACCTGCTCTTCTCATAGTTTAAAAAAAAATTTTATAATTATAAAAATTTTTAGATTCGGAAACTAATAAACTTTATTTGTGATTAATCACCATTTTACAGCTACTCTTTAAGATTCCTATATAATTATGAAAAATTAATAAATATCATCAAAAAGAACTCATTTTATTTACTTACTCTGATATTTATTTTTCTATCAATATTTGCTAAAAAATATAAGTTCGTGGCTATCCTTTTTCCTACAGTAATATAAAAAATTATTAGATCAAATAAAATATAAAAAAAACTTATTTTTATCACACTTTGATATTTGCTTCACTGTTGAGAAAAGTACATACCTAAAAAAACTAGTCATTATATATATGTATTTAGATCATTCAAATCATAAATTAAATCCTGAATGATCTTATTTTTTAAATCCTAGTATAGGATTTACCAGTTATATAAGAAATTTCTGCTAAACTTTTTTTATATATCAAAAAAAAAAAAGTTATTAAATCGTAAATTGGACGGACCAAAGTTCGCTCAAATTTCAGTCACGTGCCTTTTCTCCCTTGGATGAAATCATTTCTCGAATCAAGCCCTGTTCGTTTTTCCATTCATGGGAAGTAGATTCAGTATTCTGGAAAGTCTAGGGTGCTTCCTGGCTAGATAATCCACATTGAAGCTTCTCCTCATGCTTTCTCTGACTAATCTCACCACTAACCATTTTCCTATGCACCTCATCCAGGAATTCATCGATGCGATAGCATCCTCACTCCATGAATTTTCCAATGATTTACTAGTCTTCGACTTCTCTGACATGCGCCAGAATTTGAAGCGATACCAGATATATCAGATGCGTTTTCTGATATTTGTTTAGATGTATCATCTTATGGTAAAGAGGTTGCAGAGGGTTCAAGTTCCACTTAAGATTCAGATTGGGTTGTGCTATATTCTATTTCAGGCAAGGGATGAATAACATCTGATAAGTGACAAAATATATTTTGAAGTAGATACTTCCCGTTCATGGGTAATAGCCTGGGTCCAATTTCATGATTCTATCTTTAAGTTCAGAATTTTCTTCTGCGATCTGTTCCAACTTGGCAATCCTGACTTTGCGTTCAGCATTTTCAGCTTCTCGCTTGGCATTCTCTTCCCTAACTTTTATTAGTTTAGCATTCTTTGGCTCAAGTTCGATCTTGTCAGCTTCAACAAATCAAATTCAGATTATGTTTTAGTAATAGATTATATATACTCAATTGTTTATTTAAAATGCGTCGCCAAAAATTCCAAAAAAAAATAAACTTTATTGATAATGGAATTTTAGGTTAAAAAAATTTTTTTTGATGTATACTTCCATCTATTTTCTAATCTGATATGGGAATAATAATGCATAGTTAATTTGGTTGTAGATTTTGTGAAACAACAATTGTAATCTTGACAAGTTTTGGTGAAGGGGTAGGCGTTCTGCCATAGGAAGAGCGTGATAGAGAACTAGGAGAGGTGTTAGAAGCAATTGCCTTTAAAACTTCGGATAAACGATGCTTAAAATCACAAAAAGAAAGTTAATGTTTGCATCAACAATAATAATCAATTATTATATAGACCACTTACTTTGGTATCTTGAAATGCCTCTAATACAGGTATTAAATTTACAAATCGTGCACGCTCCGTTGGGATAACAACGTTTGAAATTAAAAACATTCTGTATATTCCATCGTAATTCATATCCATTTTGTAGATTCGGATTCGTGCTCCTGTGAACATAGTCAAATATTTGATAGTAAATAGTAAATGCATTAAAAATTCAAACCAGGTTCGTACTTACCACAAACCCATATTCCAAAAGAAATCATTTCAACTTTGTTGTCATATTTTTTTACTAATTCATTCAATGCATCTACTTGATAATTAGCAAGCTTTATCAAATCCTTTTTTGCTAGAACTGAAGACGAATCTTTAGATTTTACTTCCCCAAAAATAATTTCGTCTTTTTCGTTATTCATTATTTTAAAATCGGACTTTTTAATGATATTTTCTTTGGAACATGAACTTTCGCTATTCGCCCTTTTAATGACAAAAGGAATAATGAAGATATATTAATGAAGATTATATAATTATAAACACAAAACTCTTACCATACTAACTCAACCATCGAATTACGAAAAACTTCTTTAATTAAGTCATGTAAAATGACGTGGACAAATGTATCCTCATTGTCGTTATTAATAGATAGTAATAAACTGTAAAAGGTTAGTATTAACATCAATTACAATGGCATACAAATAAAACACTTACAAGTTTCGTAAGATAATTTGACTTTTGCAAAAATCGTCTTTGTTATCTTTGTCCAACTCTGCGATTTTGGAAAAATTTTCACTCCATTTTTTTTGGATTTTATCCGGTGAAATGAAGGAATTTAACATCTATAATAGAAGATGATACTTGGTGTCAACTTCTGCGGTGGTGTCGCAATGAACATCAATCTATAATAAGCCTTACCGATGAATATTCTGCAATCAAACTAATAACTAATGGCGATAGACGTGGAGATATTTGTCTTTGGAAAACTTTATTCCAAATCTCATTATTGCAATTAAGATATGTTGGTTTTGTCGATTCAATCAACATTACGTTTGAGAGGCATCTATTCATCACAGAAAAAAAATAATAAATATATATAATATACAAGGAAACCTGCAATTAAGAATGAATACAATGCATACAGTATTTTATGAATATCCTTTTTATAACATAAATACGGCTTTTCTTTAACCTGTTGAATCGTTGACTGTTGAAAATTCCGAAATTCGCTAGATAGATTGCAATCTTCAAGAATCCACTAAAAAGCACATAAATATAACTGGTTAATGTACGACGAATGTAATAAAGCAATGACCCATTGTGTACTCACATCCTTTTTAGAGACATCTCTAAAATCAATCACTTCTTAACATCATAATATCCAGGGTCAATATTTATATATGTAAATATATGTGTGTAAATTATGTTCATTAGAAATTTCACAAGACTAAGATCTTTATTACCTTCGTCACAATTAAAGTTAGAAGACGGAACAAATGATGTCCCTTTATCCATTTTCGAATCTGCTGACCCTAATATCTGCTCATCATTCTGAACTTTCTTCAAGATATTCTTATCCTGAGAAATTATTGACTTGTCATTCAAAATATATGTCAACTGGGGTATACATTCATACATAACTACCTGATTTTCTTCATGTTGAGGAGTGGAAGCATGCGCAGGAGAAGAGCCATTAATTTTTGCTCTTTTGGAAATTTTGTCATTATTCTAAAGATTAAAATTATAATTCATTAAGAATAAGCGCAAATTGATAGTTTAGTTAAAGTTTGCATATTTACCGCATCTTGATTTTCCCTCTTTGGCGCAAGCTTTACATCAAACACTACTTTATTCATAGTCCCATATACACCATTTGTTATCTCTCTCACTGTCCCGTTTATAGTTGAACGATTGATATTAATCTGCGTATTCGAATGCACCTTTTCCCACTCTTTTACTCTTTTTTTATCGGGTCGATTACCCTAAAATAAATAATTGGTAATATCTTTAATTAACCTATTTTCACTTCATTCAACTTTTATTACTGTTTAACCTCGTTTTGCCATCAGATAAGCATAGAGGTCTTCTGTGGCTGGCAAAGTCTCTAGACTCGAGACTTTTAAACATCAGGCAAGCATAGAGGTCACCTGCGCCCAACATTCCCTTGTGGCCCCTTGAATGATAGAGAGCATGAAGGTCTCTATCACGCCACTTATTTATTTACACGAAACAAAACTATAAAAAAAACTATAACGTTAACCTGTTTGTAAAGTTGGAGAAGTTCCTGTGCTTTTTCGCGCCTTTTGCCATTCTCAGTACAGTTGATCAACTCAAGAGATGTTAAGTAATGTCCTACTTTATCTCTATAAGTTTCTATACTGCTACATTCATTGAAGAATCCAATGATATCCCAATCCGAAGCATTTTGTTCAAAGTATTCATGTACCTGTTTTGGGGACGGAGTCATGATTATGAGTTATTATGAGTTGTGGCGATTTTTTTGTCGCACTACTGTATATATACTTTACGCGTTTGTACGCCATCAGGAATTAAATATCACGTGAATTAAGCATGATCAAAATAAAAGTTAGATCAGCGGTTCCGATTTTCATTGATACTCAGCATTTTTCGAATAAATCTGGCATAGCAGTCTCTTATTAAAAGTAACAGCACACTATTGGCGGTGCCGTAGGTGTGGCGAATCTGTTCGAATGTAATATCTTTCTGCTAAATTTGCTTGATATGTAGATAAAGATTCCGTATAATATTACTTGTGACGATAGTAAAATTTCATAGAATTGATTTTGGTGTGATGCGTAATACAAATAGTGATTAAGTAATGCAAGTACAACATAGTTTCGTTCGCGTCTTTCCTCTGAAGACGATTGAAAATAATTCGTTTAAGTTTTGACTTTATTTCATTGCTTCGTTTGTAAAACATGTCTTATGAAAATCAAATTATTTACAACAATGACAATACTGTTTCGGTTCCTTTTGACCGAGCAGCTGAATGATATATTTAAAGATCCTAATGATTCGATTCGATTCGATTCGATTCAATTCAATTCAATTTGATTTTATTTGATTCAATTTGATTCCATTTGATTCAATTTAATTTTATTTGATTTAATTTTATTTAATTTTATTCAATTCAATTTAATTTGATTTGATTTGATTTAATTCCATTTGATATAATCTTATTTAATACAATTTTATTTTATTTTATTTTATTTAATTAATTTTAATTAATTTAATTTAATTTAATTATATTTAATTTGACTTTATTTAATTTTTTAAATTTTTATATATTGATATACTGTATATTACTTTTATTTTTATAAAATATAGATCTGTGGGTCTGTAGTGTAGTGGTTAACACTTTACAGGTCAAATCACAAGATATCAGTTAAGGATCCTAATGATTCTCTTCGATTCTGTATTCGATTCTCAAGTTTATATTAAATTTAATAGATGGGATATACCCCACCATCATTTTTAATAGTATTCCGAATCTCATATGATTCTGTTCAATTCTATTTGATTCCAATTTTCAGAACCATAATATTAATTCAACTCCATGTGAGGGTGGTTGAATAGAATTAATATAATATCTGGTGCTATAACCTGTATAAGTACTGTTTCTTATAAGAAGTCATTTCATATGCTGATCTAGTGGATATTGAGCTTGAGATTTTCAAAAAAGGCGTTATGGTACAACAATTGTCCAGTTGGTATTATAATGATTGCTAGAAAAGTTGTAATGTGTATAAGATATTTGCTTTCAGTAAGATAGCTTAATGATTGTTTTCCTGTGGTACCTGATATTTCTTTCTGCAAGTTTTCAAAAAGACCTTATTTTAATTTAGTAATAGATTATTCTGACAATTATCTATTTCAAGAAGGCAACCAAAATAGCAGTAAGTACTAATAGCTGGAATAATCTATGGGCAGTAAGTTTGTGAGATAAGTTTCTTGAATATTTTTAAGTAGCTCTAGAAAAGTGAAAATTAAATAGTATGCTCATCTGCAGGTGATCGGGTTTAGAAGAATTTTCTCTATAGGGTTCTATTTGCCAAAATAAATACTATCTCTAGTTCTTCACATTTCAAAACTCTCCCTTAAAATTCATACAGTATCAAATAGAACAAAATGATATAATAGTAACACCAATGGAGCTTTGGCACATTAATCTCAGTATAATCCCTTTGGAGTAATGCTGACAGTAACAAACCAATATGAAGTAAAATCATTATAATCTAGTAATACGTAGAATTGTTTATAGATAGTAATTCCTGTAATATATGAAATATATATATAAATAAAATAAAAAGTATGCTTAGGCAAGATCCAGCTGATTAACACAAAAAAAAAAATTTTTTTATAAAATACAATAAAAAAATCTAAAATTTATATATTAAAGTTTTTAGGATATATAAAATTAAAACAATTATAAAGTTATTTAATAAAAATTCAAATATTTTATTGATAAATTCAAAAGTTTAATTTTATAATTTCAAAAAAATTAAAAATATTTTTATATAATATATAATTTTGATATAATAATTTAATATACAGTAAATAAATATTGATTATAATAATATTATAGATTATAAAGATCAGAGTTATAAACTATTTTGAAAGCAGAAAGGTTGTAGAGTAAATTAATAAAAAACTGGTTAGATTGAAGAAATAATATAATTAATTTCAATTTTCATCACTTATATAATAATAATACTAATGAAGCCTTGGTATATTAATCTTAATATATATTAAAAGATAAGTCAATAGCAACAAGCCAATATAAAATATTTTGATATAGAATAACATGTATCTAAAATAGTTTATAGATAGTAAATCTTATAATAAAAAATATACATATAAACTAAATAAAATATATTAAGTAAGATTTTGCTAGTTGAAAAAAAAATTATAGATTATAAAGAAAATATTATTTTTATTAAAATAATCAAATATATTAGAATAAATAAAAATAAATAAAGGAAATAAAAAAAAACTCTTTTTTACAAATCCTAAATTTCAAAAAATTACTTTTTTTGACAATATTAAAAAATATTTCAAAGAAATATCCAAAAAAAATATTAAAGAAAATATCAAAGAAAACTTTATAATATTTTTTAAGAAATAAAAAAAAATATATACAATAGGTATACTATAGATTCAAAAAGTATATTAACTCTTTTTTATTTCTTAATAATATAAATAAATACTTGTGATTTCTTATTGAAAAAAAAAAATACAATTCATAGTAAAATTAAAAGAGAAAGTCAATATTATACTTTATAAGTTGCCAGTTAATCATATATCAGGTTAATTTCCTTAGACACTAGCAGAATTCAATATTGGCCAGATTACATTCAATAAATCAGACAATCTTGCATATTAACATAAAATCAAAAAGATATCAAGACTTTCTTATTATCATAATTGAAAAGAAAAGTATAGATTTCAATCATTTTTAAAGATAAATAATAACTATTATATAATTAAAATTTTTTGAAAACAGAAAAACCAAAAACAGGAATAAACTCTTTCTGCTGATCCTTTTGTCAACCCCCAAAAACAGATGTTCTCAAAAGATTTTTTTGTCTTTATGATAATAAAATCTATATACTTTTCTTAAAAACAATACTGATTTTAACCAGCTGAGTAAGCAAAAGCTATCACTTGTTTTATTTTTCTTTTTCAAAACACTTTTTTTGTTTATTTTTATAACTAAATACAAGAAACCTACCTAAAAGATCTATGGCAAGAACACCTTTATAGGAAGAAAATTGACAAGAAAAAATACTTTCCAAAGATCTCCAAAAGAGTCAAGAATCTAGAAAAACAAGAATAAAGAAGTCTTCAGTCTTTTCATTATTTCTTTGGCTTCCTACTTCTTTTTTCTTAAGCATACTTTCTTTTCTCTGATTTTTTTGAAAAATTTTGCCTATCTCAGTTTGACCCTAAATTTTTTGATCACACTGGATTTCCTGAAAGATGATTGGTCAAGGTCTTAGATTGGTTAATCATATTAGTCACAAAAAAAGTAAACAAGACATATACTTCTCATGTATTTCCAGTTGCATAACACTAAACCGATAATATGATTGGTTCTTAAAAGAATTGAATAGTTTTTAGTTGAAAGAGTAGTATAGAAGTATTAGATGAAGTTGAAGTTGTAAGCAGAAAAGGAGCAACACCTTTTTGTTTCTATTCTTTTATTTTCTTTTTTTATTTTCTATTCTTTCTTGAGGATAGGAAGTAGCAACAAGGTCTAGGTCCTATTCCAATTTGGTAACAAGTTGAAGTACTGATATCTATCCTGAAAATAGTTGGAGAAAGAAATCTTGAAACTATTCACTGGTTGAGTAAAGCTATAATTCCAGAAAACATAACTTGGAAGAGAAATCAACAATAGAAAACTAACATTCTTTCTGGTTAGAAGTCTTCAAGTGTAAAATTTCAAGAAATATTTTTCTGGAAGTGCCCTTAAACATTCTTGAACATAAATTACTCTATTGAAAATTAAACAGTTTGACTGGCCACAGGTGGTAAGAAGTAAGAAATTATAAGAGGCTTGGGTTTTAAGTTCATTAAAATAATCTTTTCAATAATAGTCAGAATAGATGATAGCTTTTTTTCTTTCTTTTTATCAAAAATTTTCTTTTTTTATTCCTTTTTCTCTTGCGTAGTTTCTACAAGAAAGAGGTGACACAATTTGGATTTATGGTCATGACTGTGGAGGTGATCTGCAGGTTTTGATCTTATTAGAAGTTTGGAATCTTAATTCTATCCTTTAGAGAAAAATATATCACCTCCATAAATCGCATCTAGAGACTTCGACTATCAACAAGAAAGTTGGATCAAGGAAATTTGTACTTTGCATATATTTTTATGCATGTAATGGTTCTCTATAATTTAATAAATAAATGATACCAATCTGATTGTGGGGGAAAAAAAACCCTCTCCAAAAACAGTTTACTTCTTTTTAAAGATTAATAATAGTACAAATATGTATTTTTTTAGGTCAAATAATAACAACAATTATAAAATTTACAAATACAACTCAAAACATGAACATATATTAATAATATATTAATAATAATATTAGACTTTATCAAAATTGGCTTATTTCCAAGAGCAAAGATTTGCAATAATGTGAACATGTTCATATTATAAATCAAGTAACAAAATACAACCAGGCTTGTTAAAATAAACAGATCTCAAATTTTTTGATAAAACACATGTCAATTCTAATCTCTTATATTAAAAAAAATATAATTATACTTTATAACAAGCTATTTTAAGCAAATTAGTATATACCAAAAAACAAATAATAAAACAAACTTGCTTACATACTGTATATCAATTCAATAAATATTTAATATAATAGTTGATCCCAGTTTAATCCAAATAGAAAATCTAATAATAAATTATCTAAAAACAATCGAAAACAATTACAAT